GTTCGCAAAGCGGAGCACTGGCCCGTCAAGCAGTTGGCCAAGGTGGAAACCGCACTCCGGAAGGTTGTTGCGTTGGCTGGACATCATTGTGTCAGGTCGTTGACCGTTGTCGCCGGCACTGTCGCCCAGGCCTACGGGCTGGATTGGGAGTATGACAGGGAGATGAAGAAGCGCACCGACTACCTGGTGGCGAACGGCGTTAGGGTCGTCGACCCTTACGCGCTTCTTTATGGCACGGTCCGTTACGACAAGTACCACATGGTGGCCTCGCAGGACAACTTCCAAGCTGCCACGGAGTGGTGGCGAGCGCTTATCTCCACCACCCTGACGGGTCGGCAAATCTTCATGATGCGGGAGGACTTCCTTGCAAATCAGCGAAGCCAGATCTTCAACAATCACTTCCACCTGGCCCAGCCGGAGTTATCCCTTACGGTTCCCCCGTGCACTGACATGGTGAGACCCAAGATTGATGACTTCGCGTGGCTGGCGCCTATGTCGAGAGATCAAAGCGAGGAGATCATTGTCGCCCAGAACGTCGTCCGGAAGGCACCAAACCCCTCGGACGAAGACCGCCCGGAGATGGGTGCCGTCCCGGTCACCGAGGACGACCGGGCTTACCTCAACCCTGACGGGTCTGGCGGCGATGACGACGAGGTGATCCTCTTCGACGCGAACAACCCTCGTGTGAGGAGGTTGTTGGAGGCACTCGACTCGGTCGAAGGCCAGCTCGATGATGAGCAGGCCGTCGAGATTGAGAAGGAGCGCGGCATTGACACCATTGTCATCAATGATCCTGATGATCCGGACATTGCGTGTGAGCCGCTCCTCCCCATCAACGAGCCGGATTCCTCCGTGGAAGAGATCTTGCAGCAGACCAGAGAGAGGGTTCGCCAGGATAAGACCCTCATCGATCTCAGCGAAGACGTCACCGACCTGGGGAACAAGGTCTTGCCTGCTCCTTCCCGAGCTGCGCCGCCCAAGGCAATGCCTGCGCGTGCACCTCCCGGAAGGGATGGTCCTACCATCGACGAGTCAGCAGCATACTGGTGCGTCGGAAGCGAGATGCCGGTCATTCAGATCAGGCGCTACCTCTCTCCCAATGCCCTCGAGACATTGAGCCGAAAGATGACATGGCTGCTTCGTGGCTTCTCCAAAAAGTGCGCCCACGCACCCCATCTTGAGTTCGATGGGAATGGAACGACGTCTTTCCCGGCATTCTTCGAGGCGTTGGGGCAGATTTGGAATGGGCTCCGTATGGAGCAGATCTTCCAGGTATGCGAGTCGTCTGAGAAGGAACGCTTCGAGTTTCTCATCCACCCGGGAGGGAGGATTTTGCGATGCCGCGCAATCCAAGGCCACAGCGGGGCGCTCATGACCGAGAACTCCGACCCCATGCTTGTGAATCGCAGATCCTTCCATCTGGTCGACGGGTGGAAACCCAGTCTTCGCGAATACCCTCCTGTTGGAGAGGCTGGCTTCACGCACAGCACTTTCCATACGATGCCAAAGTTGGGGTATCACTCCACCTACTTCCGCCACTTCAGGAGCATCGTCGAGAGCGGTATCATCCCAGGAGGAATGTCGCGAGACGGGAGTCGTCGCAGATTTTACGCCATGATGTCACCGAAGCCAGCATGGGAACGTGACTGCATGGAGGGCGTGAGGCCTGATGCCGAGATCGAGTTCGTGATCGATCTCCAAATGGCTGCGTTGGACGGGGTTCGGATCTTTGAGACGGCCGCTGGCGCGGTGCAAACCCCAGATTGGCTGTCCAACCGCTACCTTGTCTACGCCTATCGGAGATCCTCGAATGAGCCGATCTGGATCAACAGGGCGTACGAGCATGCTCGCCTTCGCATCGACAAGGCCGTGAAGGAGTTCACCGCACACAGGAATGTGTTGCCCGTCTTTGACAACGATCCCTACCGTTGCCTTACGGATGGTGCGGCCACTTGCTTCCTGGACTACCTGAAGATTCCCCCAGAGGAAAACTTCACTGAGTGGGCCCCTCTCGCAGCCGATGCCTACACTCCGTTCCAGCTCCACTACGAACCACAGTGGGACTATGGTGGTCAGCCGGTTCGGATCCCGGAAGGGCATCCTCTTCACCCTACGCTTCACAACGCCTGTTGGGGCATGCGGGCACTTGTGCTGCCCACGCAGACAGCACTTACAGTGGATCGAAAGCTTCGAGGAGACCCAAGGTTCTTCAGGCACCAACAGTGCGTTGCGTTCCCCAACTTCAACTGTCCTTTCTGCGACTGCAATGACTTGATCGACGGACTCACAAGGTGTCTCAAATGTGAAGAGCGGTTGACCTTGCCCACGGACCTGGCGAAAATGGCGCAGCCCTTTGAGGCCCGCGATGACGCCACCCGGAGGGGTAGGCCGATGAACATCTTTGAGATTCAGCCTTCCATTGGCTTGAACTCCAACCGAGATCATCGGAATCCTCGCCGCATCGATGACACGACAGTGGACCGACGCAAGTCCAGCTCAGGAGCAACCTTGAAGGCGAAGATCAACAAGTCGCTCAGTCGTGCCAAGGAGCGCACAGGAGGTGATATCACCCTCGGCGCGATCCTGGCGGAGTCGCCCATGGATGCCTTCAACTGGATATCACAGGGTTTCAGCTTCACGAGCCTCAATCAGATCACGAGGTTCGCCGACATTCGGCTCCCGAACCCTGGGATGGCAGGAGGCAAGTTTGCCGAAGGCACCGACGCCTACCACAACGTCGACGGGCGGCTCGCCTACATTTGGAGCAGCGACGATGAGTTTGTCGACATCCTGACGGATTGTTTCATCTCTTTCCAGGACCGGTTTTACACCGTGCTCGAGATGGCCGTCATCATGTTCGCTGTGTACAGGACGACGGATGACAGATTCTTCTTGATGACGAATACCCCCGGTGAGAAGTGGTATCCGCACGGAAGAACCTTGGCCGGAATCCTCGGGGAGCTCATCAACCTCGTCCGGCGTGACCTTCCTCACTCAGCGAAAAGGGGCGAAGTAGCCCCACCGCTGCAGATGACGCAGGATATCCACGTCCCGGAAGGGTTCAGTTCTCTGGGAGATCGTCAGCTGGCACAGCTTCTCCAGTTCACCCGCTTCAGGACACGCAACATCAGGTCCACGATTCAAGATCGGGTTGATCGACTGAGGAGAGACAGAGCATCGTCTGCACCCAGTGATCGCACGCCGCCGTGGGCGCAACAGCCGCAAACCTCCAGAAAAAGGTCCAACACTCCCGGCACCCGGGAGGGTCGCCTCGCAGAGAGCAGGTCGAGGGATAGGCAGTCACCGTGGAAGTCACCCCCGGCTGACGCAATGCCTCCTCCTCCAAGCGCACCGCTGCAGGTCAAGGCGCCCCCCGTGATGCAGTTGACATCGAAGAGGCCACCTCCGCCGGCACCAATGACAAGGTCCTCATCACCAGCCGCCCGGCCGCCAAGCACTGCTGTCAAGTCTAAGCCGCGACCTCCACAGCTCCCGAGTTCCTACATCTCGGACGCGGACTGGGACACGATGGCAAACAACCGGCCATTCGCAGAGGAACGCCCTACTGCCAGACAAAGGGTCGTATCCCCTGGTCAGTCTCGCCACGCGGAAGCGGCGGCCCCACCGGGCTTGTCCCGCCGCGGAAGCGGCGGCCCCTGCGCCGATCGACACCGAGGCTGCCCCACGACCGATGGTTGTCGAACCTGCCACTCCTCCTACGAGAGAGCAGGTCGCCATGAATCGTGGGATGCAGACCATCTACGAGACGCTCGACAGGGTCGTATCCTGGGGTCAGGTGGTCAATGGCACCGACATTGATCACACCCGTGACCGGGATGTTAATTGGCCAACCTGGGTGGGCTACATGTGGGCAGTGATGCGTGCCTTGGATATTCCTGGCATGTCGGTGGACAATGCGCTTTACGCGATCCCTGTCCACGGCTCCACGAACACCTTCCAGATCATGGGCCCTGATCATGTTAGATCCTACCTGCGTGGCTGGCACAACTGGCGATGGGACTATGCCACCGATGCTTGGAAGCGCGATTACTAGTTTCCTTCCTTTTGCATCACACCGGCCTGACGGCTTGGTCTTCGCCGCTCTGACGGGCTGGCTATGTTTTCCCTTTCAGTCAGCAGTTCTTTCAGGGCCGCGGAGCTGAGCTCTGTGGGCAAACACCAACACCCTGCCGGGTCGTTTGGCAGCGCGTTGTTGGTTACAGGTGTAGAATCTTTTCTCGAATCAGAGTAGCGTCAAAACAGCTGATGTGTCGCCTCTCCGTTGCTCTAAGATGCGCGGGGGGTGTCGATACTTCAAGATATCAGCTGTATTACCATACTTACGCTACTTTGTTGGCTCAAGACAAAAAGTGCGTTGCACTGTACTCGTTGAGTTTAGGGCTTTCCGCTGGTAACAATAGCCTCTGCAACTGCTTGGCTTTGGACTCCGATTAGCCTGTTTAGCCTATTCGGATCGACGGACCTTGCCTGCCTTGTGCGAGAGAGAGCGACGAAACCCCAAATCCTAAACCGATCAAGCTCAGAGACTGTCAAGCCCCTAGTGCTTCGAAGTGGGATGTGCGCACGGTGTATCTTGAGATTCCTGCACTCGGAGACGATTTCAGACGTGGAGCTTGCGTTTGCTACAGTTTGCCTGTGTTCCCAGCTTCAGCTCCACAGGTGGTGTGAGCACCTGTCACTCATGCGTAATTACCACCTTGCCTGTGCGTCGCAGCCAGTGCTTCGGAGACACACGGAGAAACATGGAGACACACGAAGACACACTGTCGCAAGTAGAATATGCCAGAACATGCCGATGGACGCGTGCGATCCTGTTAGCCGCGCTCTTTTCATCAAAGCCGTTGCCAAAATTCCACGCTACCACGCGAGTGCAGCCTTGGGAGCCATTGCTACCAGGTCAAGTCGTAAAGCAAGTGAAGCCCGTGCTAGGGGCGTGCAAGGCAGAGGTTATTGCTACCGGCGGGTGCATGCAATCCCAGGCACAAGAGGGAAGAGGCTTCATGTTTCCTGGCAGCAAGTTTCTGGTTTGGCGGTCCCCTGCCATTGCACCTGGAAAGACTTAGGTCTGTGCCTTCACAACAGGAGGCGCGATGCAGCATTCATGGGCCGCAGATGACGAGCCTTTCGGAATTTTTCCGTGGCACTTGCAGTTCCAGCATGGTCCATCTGGTTAGCACTCGTTTTGGCTTGCTTTTGGAAGGTTGGACGGCGCAGCGTGGTGGCGGTAGCGCTCCTCGCACCAGGGTCCGCTTTTTCTGACTCAGCAACATTATGCCCGCTTGCCGCGAAGTCACATGCGGAGCCCGCTGGCAGGCTGGCGCATGCCGAAGTCGACAATCCGCTCCCGCCACCAGTGGTCAAGGCACGCGATGCTGCTGCATCTTTGCACTCTTGTGACTGTGAAGATGCAACATCGGGCGTAGCTTGCAACTTAGTACTAGCTAGAGCAACAATTCAAGATATGAGACCAGCCTGCAAAAACATGCGGTCGGAAGCCCTTCCAGGATCTGGAGCGAGCGGCTCCGAAGATCCAAGGAGGTGGGGGACACGAGAGCCTCAGCAGAAGTTAAATTCATCTTTGGCAGCTGTTTTGAGGCGTCGATTGGTTTTACTTCGAGTTGCTTCCGGCAATCAAGAAGGAGGAAGGTTAAAGTTGCCTGTCCAACGAAGCTTCAAAATGCTTCAGGCATGTTGCCACAACAGCGGCTTGTGCGCGTCGCATGGGCTTTAGTGTTGCACGCTGCACATGCGACTTCTCACTGGTATTTCCCCGCCATTACATGAAGCATTTGCAACAGCCACTTCTGGGAAAAGGCGGCGTTTTAAGGTGGAAGCCAGGATGCTCGGTTGGTTCGAGGTCACGTTGAAAGCAGTAAGCAACAGGACAACGAACAAACAACGAAATCCCTGGCCCCTTCTTGGCACTGAACCAAAGCCAGAACCAAAGCCACCCATCAACACTCAACGTACATTCCCGCGCACGAAGCTCATGGATGTTGCCATGGAGCCTGAGAGCTTGGCCAAGCTTGCGCGGCCTGCGCTGCCGGGTGCGCCGGAGCTCCGGGCAGAACTGCATGAGGTGCATATTCTGACTGTGGGACTGGGGCGGCTTTGCTTCTTTTGACTTTTGCTTGATGTGGGGAGTCGCGAGGCTGTGCAGCGTCTCAGCTTCGCAGAGCTCCACAGCAGTACCCAGACACGTGCCTGCAGTGGTGTAGATGGCTGACGATCAACGACGAGCATGAAGCAGCTTGAAGAAGCTTTTTAAGCACAAGCGGGCGGATGTGGGCAGCAAGGTGGGCCTCGGAGCTCCTGGCCGCGCTTCCACGAGGCACGAAGATGTGTTGCAGTTTTTTTGGGGGATGTCCGAAGACGTCTCGAAACCCTTGGGAACCTTCTTGTTCTCAGCACCAGGCGAGGTGCCCATGGCAATGCCTGCGCAGAGCATGTCCAGCTCAGTGCTGCTTGCAAAGGCTCGGGTCCGAGGGGGGGATCGCTTGAATTCCTCTCTTTTTCTTTGCGTCAACGACATGGGGCAACTTTTTTGGACATGGTGCCTGCATTGTTTTTCAAAGTTTCGACGATTTCGACGACAGCCTGTCATGGCTGCATAGCACAAGATGTGACGCGTCATCCCTTATCATCGCTGATACGAAAGGGGCACGCAAGACGCAGGGCTGGTAGGGACTCTACCCTCACCTCTTTACATTTCTGCTCCAGCATGTTCCTCTTGTGTGAGTTCGCAGAGGCCCACTTCGGAATGCGCGAGTACTCCCGGGCTGCACACGCACTGCAGAGCTGCCCCTGGCCTCAAGCACTTTGCAGCTTATGTCTCATCATGGTGGAATGCGCCGTTTTCCTGCTGGAGAACTCTGCAGCACGGAGCCAGTAGTCGTTGATCGCGCATGCAGACGCGCTCGAGACCGTTGCAGCCAGGTCCCACCCACGGCAAGGAGCTGCATTCCGAACCGTGGCCGGTGTTTTTCAGGCTGGATCTTCGCCAATGTCGCTCGAGGGAAGGATTGCGGCTACATCCCTGGCAGTGTGACACCTGCGAGGTGCTATGCGCTGTACTTGGCGGGAGAGAAACGTCGAGAGGAGGACGCGGCAGAGGCGCTGAAGCTCGTAAAGCTCCAGTAAAGAGGGCGAGAGGGACCCCTCCTTCCCCGACGACGCCCGAAGTCAAATATCAAGAGTCACCAAGAATGTTTGAGTCATCAACATGGTGCTGCCAAGTAAAAGGATGTTGATAGTTTCTGTGTCCTTGCTCGGACAGCTGAGTGCTGTTCAAGTTGCCAGGTGTCTGACCCTGCGGAATCGAGTCGGGTTCGCAACACAGAGCTGACGCTTACCATCAAAGAAAGGTTGCAAAGGGTTTAGGTTTATGAAGTTTCGTTGCTTCTCGCCCATCTTCTGTCTTCCACCATGGCCACATGGCAGTGCACGAGGAAAACGCTGGAAGAAGACCTTTCAGCGCTCCACCACGAGCAGAAGCTCGATGGTTTGGGCTTCCTGGTTGCCTTGGGAACATGTTCGAGTTTTGCTGTTGGTGGACAATGTGAAAGCACATCGGTAGCACTCAACATCAGGCCTCTATGTGTATGGTATCGTTCTGAAGGGCTTGGTGACTCGGCGGCCGACAATGTGGCAGTGTTGTGCAGCAAGCAGGCCGAGGCCGTTGGTGCAATGAACTGAGGAGCTGAAAGAGGATGCCAGACGAGTTCCGAAGCTTGCGCTTGAGCTACTGATTTCACCGAAAGGCAGACCAAAGTGTCATAGGTTGCGCAGCATCTAGTCTAGTTGAACTTGGCCAGGGCAAACCTGCACTGTCACAGAGTTGGACGGTTATGTTGCAGAACAATGAGGGTGTTTCAACACGTGCGAGAGTGACCTTGCTGGAGCTGTTGAGGTTCTCTTGGAATCTGTTCATGCCTTTCCCTGCAACTGGTCGGCGTGGTTGGACATCATCAGTCGCTTTGCTGCCAAATTGCTCTGAATCAGCAGGACTCATGCGGCAATGCGGAGGTGCTTTATACTTGTAGGATCTCGTGTTGGATTTGGTGCTGTGAATCTGCCTCACTATCCTTTTAGGCATTTCTGCGGACTTGGATGATGTCAGCAGCTGCCGAGAGGAATTGAGGCCGAACGCAGCACACAGGTGCATGATTTGCAAGCTGAACGCGTCACGCTTACATTGACATGCTGGTGACGCTGCAGACTCCCGTGTGCTATCCAATCATGAAATTCTTGGTGCAAGATCTCCGACAGGCTGCCGCTTCACTGGATGTCCTTGTTTTTTGAGGCGGCGATGCAGTTGGTCGCTTGACACAAATGGTGCAAGGCGTCCCTAATCCAAAAAGTAGCTGCTCACACGCTTGCCTCCAAGGAGCTTCAACGGAACGAGAGCGCGAGAGACCTGTACGTCATGCTCCGTGCCTCCTTCCCAGAATCGGCCTACATCGCTTCTCAGATCGCCACATGCTTCTACAACCTGAGGACGTGTGTTTCTATTGGGGCTGAAAAGGCAAGCTGTGGGGACTTGTGGGTTCGGTATTTTGGAGTTTTGGGGACCTTCCAGGAACTTCGATGCCTCGCAGCTGGCCTTTGAAGAGCTCCGCCGACGTGACCCGTACCGGCTCTCGTTGCCCGACTGGTTTTGTGACGATGTTATTGTGATTCTGCCCGGTGGCAATCTGCAGAATCTCTGTAGAAGGTGCTTCTTCGGGTCGCTTGAAGTGCAGAGGTTTAACCGTTCTATGTAGGGGGCATCCGAGCTGCGGCAGGGTCCGAAGCGGCGCATGCACATTTACCCAGCCGTCGCCGGTTTCATCCGCGCACTGCTATGAGTAGCAGCAGCAGCAACAGCACCGAATAGCAGAGAATGCTTTTCTGCGCGACAGCGTTCTGCACATCAGCCAGGTCTTTGGATACCTACTCGAACATTCTCTTTGTCAAGGACGAGCGTGATTCGGGTTGTATGCACGTTTATTTTGGGGAGGGCTTTTGCAGACTTGGAAGCCCGACACAACTACAAACACCTTTATGTTGGCCACAGCCAGCTGCGAAGCTTCTTGCTTGTGTTGCAGCCAGCAGAAACTTTGCCAGGATTGGTGTTGAAGTTGGCAAGAGTGCAAAGAAGCATGGAGCCAGCAGCTCTTGGAACCGAGTTTTCTGATCCTGCAAGCCATCCATTCTGTCGTGTGCATGAACTGGTAGCCAGCAGGAGCAGGCAGCAGCGCTGAGTCACCTGGCACGCCAGGCCGTCAAGCCTCTTGGGAACAACTAGGCCGGTTGCGGAAGCCAAGTAGGTGGTTTCGTTGTGTTGCACGGACTGTGGCTGCGACCGTAAGGATTGACAAGTATACGCCTGAAGCTTGCATCATCATTGGAAACTACTACAGTCTCAAGGGTGAGCACGAGAAGGCCGGCTTGTGCAGGATCATAGCTCGCAGTAGTTTGGCTTGGCGGAGGGCGTCTGCCCTTTGCAGGCGGTGATCTACTTCCGGCGCGCTCTGGCTCTTAATTGCCACTTCACTCCGGCATGGATTCTGATTCTGCGATGCAACAAGTCAAACAGTTGTCTGTGGTTTGTCAGAAGACAAGGAAGGTCATGCATTCAGAACGTATCCGGGGATACTCGTGTGCTCTGAGCCTCAGGATGGGCCATGAGTTCATGGAGATGAAGAACACAGCTGCGGTAACCTGATTTTTCCACAGTTCAAGAACCGATACTAGGCTCCGGATGAAGGATGCCAAACTCCTTGGGACAAGGACATGCCTATACAAGAATGCAAGGAACCATTAGCGGGCAAGCGAGCACTTAACAGTGGCAACAGTCTCTGTGCCTTCGCATTTAGGCAATTGATGCATATCGAACCGCCGTGACGATCAATCGGCGCGACTACAGAGCTTGGCGACCTGGCACAAGCCATGAAGCCGTGCGCGTGCGTTAATTTGCCAGACGTGCTCGTCTAGACGTTGACGCAACATTCATGCGGCACGAAGGTATGGTTTGGGGCAAACATATGAGCTTCTGAGCAACTTGGCAAGCAGGCCTTTGTGCAGACATATGTTCCAGCAGATTCTCGCACGTTCAAGGAAAATTGTCGGTCAGATCAACATACAAACTGAGGCCTGCACTTCTATGCTCTGTTCTACTACCGCCCCTTGTTCTGGTATAGTCGGCTGGTGCTCCTCCAGTAGAAAAGAATTGGGTTTTCGGGGCTCCGAAACACTCTGTCAGAATGATCTCAGAAACGTGGTTCCCCGAAACCCTCACAGACTTTCAAGCCAGCGCCGGTCATGTAGCGCTATAGGGTTCTGTTCCAGGGCATGACACAACATGCTAGAGCCAGGCCGGGCGATGTCCCTCCGCCCGGATGATGCGCGCATGTGGTGTGCCATGGCGCAGTGTCCCTTGGACTTATTGGCAGCTGTTTGGCATTTTGCCGCCGTGTTTTCTGAACGATCCAGTGCTACCATCACGTGCGACCTTGGTTCCCGACCAGGCTACGATCACATGGACAGAAAGACCGAGGCCGACTTGTGACACGCCACGGCAGTGGAGGGTAGTAGTGGTGGTGGTTGGTTGTAGTGGTCATGGTGTGGACGGGGGTGGCGGTGGTGGTGAGGTGGAGGTCGTCGTTGTGGTGGTCAAAGTCGTCATCATCGTTATCGTCGCTAGCCTTTTTGGTCCCAGGGTTAGTTTGAGTATGTTTGAGTGTGAGTGTGACCAAGCGGTAGTGACGTGGTCATACTCGTCGCCGCCGCCGCCGCCGCCGCCGCCGTCGCCGCCGCCGCCGTCGTCGTCGTCGTCGTCGCCGACGACGTCGCCTTCGCCGGCATCGCCGGCGTCGCCGGCGGCGTCGTCGTCGTCGTCGTCGTCGTCGTCGTCGTCGTCGTTGTCCTCGTCGTGGTCGTGGTCGTGGTCGTGGTCGTGGTCGTGGTCGTGGTCGTGGTCGTGGTCGTGGTCGTGGTCGTGGTCGTGGTCGTGTAGAAAGTAGCAGAGCGACATCTAGCGACTGCTGGATGCGAGAATTTTTTCTGCCAGCTCATGCAGGCCTTGAAGTGCTACGAGAAGGCAGGGCGTCCTTCTGAAAGATTTTTCTGGAGCGCTGCGAAAGCGAGATTTGAGGCGCACCGCTGCGGGGACTTGGAGCGCATGGCTCTGCCCCGCCTTGCGCGGCTGCACCGTGATCATGGAGACCAGAGGCGTGCAGTCACATTTTGTGCAGAACATTTGCCAGTGCTTTTGCGGTCTGCCACCCTTGTTGCAGGCAAGCTGCTGCTTACTACAGCCAGATGCTGGAGCTGAGTGGACATGCCAGGATGGTAAACGCAGCTGCAGGACTGCAGAGCTGAAGCGTGCCAGATTTTTTAACTTGCAGATTCGATCCAAGGTGGCTCTTGTGTTTTCTGCTGTCACGCTCTCTCTCTCCCACACACACACACACACACTCGCGCGGCGATCGTGTTATGTTTCAGGTGTGCGGCCAGACCCAGCGACCGTCTCCGCGCCGCTGCGGCCTCTAGGGCCCTCTCTGGGCCTGGCAAGTGAGAGCGTGGTGCCTCGCTGCAAGACCCCACTGAGAGATTCCATGACAAGGCAGAACCTTCACTCGGACTTGGGGTGCCAAAACACATCCAATGCTGAGGAAGCGTTGCGCTTTCTGATGAATTTCTTTGCAGAGGACCATTCTGCGACTTCGGCTTTGGTCACACTGTGAGCTTCATACTTTCACGAACTCTTTCGCAAACCGTTCGTGCAAGGAGGGCAGATTTGCAGAGGCAGAGGCTTGTGCCACTCAGCTCCTGGACACTGCGGGCTCCGAGAAGGCTGGGGGGTCCACCATCCAATTGAGATGTTCCATCGCCCGACCTGTTGAGGACGAGGCAAAAGCAATGCTTCGAAATCTGCGTCTTCGAATGCCCGCGTCATGAGAGCTTGCAAAAAATGGGGCTGCAGCGTGCGCATGCAGCGTGTGCATGCAGCGTGCGCATGCAGCGTGCCGCATGCAGCGTGCGCATGCAGCGTGCGCATGCAGCATGCGCATGCACAGGTGTTGAGCGCGTGTGTGTGCGCTGTGCAGATGTCATCATGGCCTGCGAGCATGTCCCAACGCCTGGAGGACTTATCATTGTGCCGCAAGGCTCTAGGCTCTGGTGCAGAGGGCGCCTACGTGCCGGGAGCTCTGTTCCAGCGGCTTCGAGCTTCCTTGCTCCCCAGAAACCCCAAGAGATTCGCAGGCACCACGCGTGAATACGCACCCGTCTTAGGTCGCCCTTGGATTCAGAAATTACGTTCCCAATGAATCAGCTGGGCGCTGAGCTTGGGGGTGTGGTGATGGAATTGCGCAGCTAACATTTTGCTTCCCAGTCTGCGGCTCTCAGCTTCCTGATGCTTCCTGGCTTTCTGCACTTCTCGATTCTGCGCGCATCTTCCTGGCTTCGTGCTTTCTGGACTTGATAGGCCTCGGAGGCTGCCTGGAGCCATCCTAAGCCCGAAAGGGGACGCAGGCGGTCCCAACAACACAAGAGTTTGGTTGAGCATGCGCTCGCTTGTATGAGCCGGGGTACTTTGCTTCAATGTGGAACGTTTTGACCAACACCGCGGCAAGTACTAGGTGTAGGATCGGTGGAGGTGTGCCAAAGACGCAATCCAGCCATATCTTCTAGAAGAGCACGCTTGCATCATCATGCAGCTTCTGTGCCAATCTTGAGCGGCGCTTTCGCTTTGAGAAAGACCACTCTAGCATCATGTTTTGTAAATTTTGCTGCTCGCAGCGGGCAAAGCACCATCAAAGCCAAGGCACTATTTGTACGAAGAAGCATGTGCATGTTGCAACGCCTGTGCCCACAACATGTCAAGCGGGCGCATGCCCAATATCAGCAGCATCAGCAGGGAATGTTTTTCACCAATACTGTTGCAAGCAGAAGCAGGACAAGGCACAATGTTCCTGATTGGGTGAAACAGCTTCATTGGCCAGCAAAGAGTTGCGCATCTGGTTCTCCCAACAAGTGTTGCTGGAAAGGAGCTCAGTGTCTTGGGAAAGTCGAACTTGCTGACCCTCCGAACCTGCTCATCAGGACCACATGCTGTATCCCTTCGTAAATTCACTGGGTTTGGCCTCACTTAGTCTCAGCTCTTCGAGTAGTTGAGCGCATGTTGAAAAGCATCGTAAGGTTGGCCAGTGCCAACGTCGAGGCGGACGAAGATGGATGGACGACCGACATCAGGGATTTTCAGAAGGCGAGGCTTCCTCACAGAAAGGGGCCACCGATCATATACGGGACCGTCCCAGAGGACCTGTGCAAGATTGCGTAAGCAAATACGGGCAGGGGAGACGCATTCCCTCTGAAAGCTGCACGCACTTCATCGTGGCTGGTATGTGTCCCCAGGCTTGCATCGACATGAGCGACGCAGTTGGTGCGAACGATTGGCCTCAGGCGGATATGCTGAGCTTTGAGCCCTCTCACTGACCACACAAAGCCTCAGCTTTCCTGCGCAGCCATCAGCTGTTGATCAAGCCTTTTGATTCAACCTGTTGTTATTCTTGGTCTATTTTTCGCAGCAGAAAGTGCCCTTGCTATGCACCGAAGCTTGTACATGGCAGTACTGCATGATCACGCCACAATTGCCCTGAGAGCCATGCTGCTCCGTGTTTGGCTTGGTGCCTTCTGTTTCAGAGGCGCAAGCGGTGCCTCTTTTGTTGCTCAAGCGCCAAGCCTAGATTTTTGACATGTCTGCCCCTTTTGTCTTGAAGAGTGTTCAGGGTAATGCCACATTGCTACGCAAGCTACTTGTCTGCCTGCACCAGACAAGTAGCTGCGTTGGGTTATAGTTCCTGCATGCCGTCTGCTTTTTTCCGCGTGCGCTTGACAGGCCTTGTGGTGCCGGCCGACGAGTCGTGTTCGCAGAGCCAGGATGGACAGGTGGAGGCGCGTGCGTGCAGACCTGGGCCCGTGTTTTGCAAGCTTGTTTGGCTAGTTTCAGGAACCAGCGCTGGGAGATGGTGCCAAGGAGACACGTAAGCCCTGCCCATGAAAGGGTGAAAAGGAACTCTGTGTGTGCTTGGCCTTTGGGGTGTGTTTTCTTTGGTGGCCGCTTGCCAGGCTTCTGCGTGGTGTTCGATTCATCGTTGCTTTGATTCCAAGTATCTTTGTTGTGCCGTCCTCGAAACAGCCAAAGCCATGGATGTAAATCCAGGGCGAACACCAAGTAACAACGGAAGGAACATGCGAGCGCTAAAACACGTCTCGGGACGAGTGTCGAAAGTGGTCAGCAGCAGGCAGGTCTCGGCCTATCGCCAGAGAGAGGTCCTGGTCTAGACATTCTGGCACTGCCTAAGAGTAGCCTAGAGCACGGATGCAGACAGGTAGATTGGGATTTTGTGTGAGGGCTCGCATGTCTGTCCCTGGCCCTTAGTTGCCTCACGCCTCAGGACTGCGGCTGCAGCTCCTTGAGCCGTGGCAGCGCATCGAGCCGCAGCGAGCCTGTAAGGCACGATCTCCAAACAGTTGACACTATGCAATACTGTGCACGAGACACGCTTTACACCTTCGCGTTTCAGTCTGGGTGTCGTGGCATCGCGTGGGACAGTCCGCAACAGTCCGCAGAGATGAACCGATCTTCAGGTTTGAGGGCCTGTCTGACTCGGCAAGAAGGCGCGGTGCAGAGACTGCGGGGAGATGGCCTCCCGCCTATTGACCGCTTGGTCTTGTGACTTGTCGCAGGCACAACGCCGATATGGTGGAGATACCGGCCGGTCGATTTCTGATGGGTGACAGGAAGGAGAGAGTTCACTTCCCGCAGGCTGGGGGCTTGAGAGTAAACCGGTCGTGCAGTCCACGTCTGCCGTTTCACCAGGATGGTGAAGGCCCTGTGCGGCCGGTAACGATGTCCAGCTTTTGGATGGATCGCTTCGAGGTGAGCAACGAGAAGTGGCAGGATTTTGCCAGCGAGACGGGCTACCTCACAGATGCCGAGCGTTTGGGCGACTCCTTCGTAGCAGAGCTCTACCTCTCGAAGGCGGTCAATGCGACCATCGAAAAGAAGGTGGATGCCGTGCCTTGGTGGTTGCCAGTGCCCAATGCTTCGTGGCAAAAGCCAGAGGGTATTGATGCCAGGCAGGCAAGAGAAGTGCTTTTGCTGCTGTGTTTTTGCCGTTGTTGTCGGTTGATGGCAATCGGTCCACCTACCAGCTTGGCCCTTGAGACATTCAGGATAGTGCTCTGAGTGGCGTTCACAGCAGATATGGGGATCGCTGGAAACATCCCGTTGTGCATATCTCTTGGCCACTAAGCTGTTGTGCTGGAGCAGGTGCTTTCTAGTTGACTTGGGCTTGCCATGGTGTCCTGCCTAGCCCTGTCTGCTGGCCTGCACAAGGAACGATGCGGAGGCGTACTGCAGGTGGAGAAATGCATCTTTGCCAACCGAGGCCAGGCTTGAAGCATTTCGCACCCGAGAAACCCAGGATTGTTGCCATGGCCACGTGTAGGGAGAATATGCAGAATGTGTTGCGGCAGCTTGGATGTGTCATGCAGAATAGAGTCTACCATAGAGAAGAGCAGCCAAAGCGGTGAGAACATCTTTAAAGATGCCAGAACTCATGTGAGCATGCTGAGCTGGGCAAGAGAAGCTGGGGTTCGTAGATTGGTGAGCTCCGAGCAGAGATGTTGCTTTGTACCGCTGAACACGAACTCACAACTATCAGTACAATTTAGCGTCGTTTGCATCATGGGGCTCGTTCTATGTTGTCAACGGGGACTGAGTCGTGAAGTTGAGCTGCCTTGGCTTGAGACTCCAGGCACAGTGGGAATATGCAGCACGAGGTGGCCTTGAAGGCAAACTTTATCCATGGGGTGACACGACGTGCCTCGACAAGGGCGCCATGCACCCTCATGTGATTTCACAAAAGGTGCCTGTTCAGTACACAGACTTTGGGTCTGATGTAAGGTACGGCAATGAAACTGAAGAGATACCCCGCCGACACCGAATGAACATCTGGCAAGGGGCGTTCCCGCTGGAGAACACTGCCAAAGATGGCCGCTTGTTGCCATCTTGGGTTCGGACTCGCTTATTTCCCAACATTCCCCAACTGTTGACGTTCCCTTTTTCTTGCATGAAGGCTACCCGAAGACGGCACCAGTCGATGCATATGGGCCTCAGAACGCTCCGCGATTGCACCTTGAGAGCTCCATGCGATGTATTCGCGTAGTCACGCAGTCAGGATTGGGGCTTGTACAACATGGTGGGCAACGTTTGGGAGTGGACCGGCGACTGGTTCAGCCCAGTACATTTCCTCACCGACAAGAACAAGGAGACTGGCCTTGTGGACCCTACAGGGCCTGTGGCCTGGCCTGAAAACTGGCTTACGCACATGCGCTCAGTCATCGTGACTCGATGCAGGAACGAAGAAGGAGGAACGCAAAGGGGCCGTTATGCAGGATCCGCTGCAGGGGTTTTGCGGCACCTGAGGAGATCGAAGAGTTAGATGAACTGGTTGAGATGGGGTATTTGAAGAAAGATTCATCTGGACAATACGCTGCTGGCTGGCATCTAGCAAAAGGGTGTCCAGCAACCTGCTCTGGCAACATGCGTATTCGCTAATGCTGGTTTCTTTGTTCGGAGCGATTTGCCCTACTACGTGAGAGCATCTAACAACCAAGCCTCCCTCAATGAGACTCAGGAAAAAATCAAGAAAGGTGGCTCGTTTATGTGCCACAAGTCGTACTGCGGCTCGGACTGTTTCTGTGTCTGTGTGCAGATCTCATGCTTGGGAGTCTCGGCCTGGGCACAGGCTATCGCTACAGGATCTGCGCGCGCAGTCACCTCACAGCGGATGGCGCTGCGCATCATACCGGCAGCCGCCCAAGCAGCTGTGCAAGATGTGATTTGGCAATGGCGGTGCTTGTAAGTTCACCGAGTTGAGACAGAGATTGTTTGCCGCTATCAAGTCGTGGAGGAGTTCGGTGCGCTCGAGCTGTGCAGCAGAAGACACCATGACGAGCAGCAATGAAGCATGCCTTTCTTGTCTCGAAGTGCTTTCAAGACCGGACGTGTACAAGTTCAAGTGCGCTGCTGGGCCCTGTGCCCAGCTCCGAGCGCTGCCACCTTCGTGGGCCGTGGCTGACACATAGACCACAAACACGAAAAGCAGCATGCCCCCTTTGTGGCATCAAGCCACTCCCACCTTTTGCACAGAAAAGGGGCCGTTTCATGATGATGTCCGTCACAAAAGTATGGCGTTGACCCGATAGTTTCAACAGTTTCGCTCGCCATGAAGCAGAATCGGCACGGTCAAATCAATCTCTCAGCACCTGCTCTGTGGGCATGTGGGCATGTGGGCAGCATTCCGGAGAGACTGAGGGCGCGCCGCCTCAGGCAATGAACGGTTTCAAAAAGGCCCAGGCAGCGCTCAACGGCGTCATGGGAAAGATTAACGCTCGTGCCGGCATCCCGGAGATCCCTCCCAGAGTGCCGTCTGTGTCATGTATATTCGTAAGAGCAAATGTGCGACGTTTGGATAGAATTTCTGCTGCTTAGGCTCGAGGGTGCAAGGGAGGAATCGAACAAAATCGATTGACTCTTGGGGGCTCCCTGTACCTGAGTTTTTTGGGGCTTCGCCCGGTAGCACGAAACTAGCCGGAGCAACGGGGACTACTGCCATTGTGAGTCTGGACGAAGAAGCACACCCCTCGAAGACTTGCTGGCTAAATTGCGTTTCCATGCCAAAGCCCCAGAGACCATGCCAGAGAGTTGGCCCCTACTGGCAAAATGAGATTTTTCATACCAGAGACCCAGGGTGCTTGATGCAGTCTTGTACGAGATGTATTGTGGCAAGTGCATATATACTAGATTGGAACAAGTGCGTCCTCCATATGTTGACCCGAGCGCGGCGTTCTCACCACTTTCTGGTGGTAGTTTGGAGGGTCCAGACTCTCATAGGCTTCATGCATTGCTTTTCTGTTGATTGGCATTGCCTGGCTTCTATTGAGACTGCTTATTGTTGAATTGCAGGTCTAGTTCAGGGTGGGAGGAAAATGCCTATTGTTTTCAAGCTGGTAGGGCTGGCAACAACCAAAATGGTGAGCCGAGGCAGAAGGACCGGTCCCTTTTGTCCTGATAGATGTGCTGCTGGCGTGCTTAACACAGCGGGGAGCCATCCATTGTTAGGAGCTCTCGACTTGCCTGATTTGTTGCAATGCCCTTTCAGAGCATGACAGGATTCTTACGAGGACAGAGGTGCTGCCTATCTGCAGCGGAAGAAGGCGGCAGCTGACACAGTCGTTCAGTCGCCAAGATCCCAATAAACATCCGCACATGATCCGAGGGTAGTTCCACCTGCACCGCCCATAACCATGTGGGCTCCTTTGAGCTCCCACTCGTTGCCAACAAGTTTGTCTGACCCGCAATTATTCCTTGTGCCAGGACATGATGGCTTTCCGAAATCAAGCGGGTACCCTTGCGTTGAGATGAGAAGTTTTTGACTCGGGGCGCTGCTCAACACCGCCCCATTCATATTGTCAGGCCAGAAGCCTGTAAATCGTGTTTAGATACTTGGAGCTCTGGAGTGGAGGCATGGATCATGCGTTTTCGATGTGGCGCCCAGGCCTTGTGGAAGGCAGTTTGCCGCTTAGACGGTGTGATGTAAAACGTGACCTACGGTTTTTTGAAATGCTTTACGCAGTTCAATGGTATTCAATGGTGTTGGGCGGGGCCAGACAGCCACATCCTGTTGACATTTGAAGTGGGACCCTAGATCCCGAAGATTTCGGCCTGCCGCGCAGCTTTTCGCACAAGCTGGGTGGGTCATTGGGATACTTGTGGGGTATGTTCGAGCATGGTCCAGCAATGCACGGCAGACCCTGGTTCCTCGGTAGTGGCATGGCTTCGGAGTGTCGCGTTGCAGGCAATCGCAAGCTGAATCACAAAAAGAGAATACTGGAGGGCTGAAAGCACAAACATAGAACAAGGAAAATATATGAATATCGAGGTCTATGAGAAAACATGGGAAATGCGAATTCGGATTTGAATGAATATTGTTTGTCTTCAAATCAATTATTAAAAAACTCAACTTCTAGATTAGAAATCATCGAACAATTCGAATTTCAAATATCTTCATGATAGGGAATTGGATTGGGATATTCGGGAATCTTACTCTAGGGAATCGGATATTCTAGGGAATTTTTGGTTGGGCAATCTAGGAGGCCCTGACTTGGGCTTTCAAGGAGATCATTGGGGAATTATTATAAAAAATTTCTTTTGGATATTGCCGAATATAAATCTCCATTCATCATTGGGAATATTAGAAACCATTTCTCATTATATGAATTTCCATGAAGCAATATATAAATATATGTATGTATATGGGGTTTTTATTTTTGGATTCTTTGGGATTGGATCTTTTCATAATTTCTGGGATAGGGATTTTTGAGGTTGATCATTTTGGAAATTTTCGGGGATGGATATTCTTTATTTTGATGATAGATTTCTTGGAATTTGATATTTTATGAATATTTTTTTCAGGAAAGATTACATTTATCTTTCATTCATCATTATCTCACTTTTTATTTTCTGATTTAAGCATTTTATGATTCTATGGATAGAATCTGGCGTGCGAGATTCATGACAGGATCTATTTCGGTGTAAGAGATTTGTACTCCCAAAAATACCAGTTCACTACGAAATCTTCATTGAGAAAGACGTATACTCCCAATAGAAATCAAAAGAAATACATATAATCTTCGAATAAGATAATGATCTAGAGATATATAGAAATAGGAATAATCTCTTGAAGAATAGATATATATATATATTTTAGATATTGGGGTCCATATGAGAAATCTATATTCGTAGAAATACGAATTCAATGATGATTAAGATAAATTAATATAAACAACAGATCCATAGCTCGTGCGGATCTGGAAGGAAGACAAAGCAAGTCTGAATATTTATCCTCTATAAAATTTAGGCAAGAAAAGGAAAAGAGAATGCGGTTATATTTATTAATTCATCAGAAGGCAAAAAGTGATATAGAGATCGATGGAGCCTGTTCGGATTCATCAGTCGGCTGAAGTATGCAATCTTTTTGAAGAAGGCTCTGAAATGATTCGAATCCTCATAGGGATGAATATCTTCATGGATCTATATGGGGGGATCTTGAATGAATTTTCTATGCCAATTGGATCGTATCAGGACCATCGGAGGCAGATTCATATTTTGAAAAATGGGACGAATTTGATATCTATATTCAATATAAAATAGGATTTATATCCATATCGAAATTTATTTCTCCAAATGGTCGCCTAAGGATCCGTCCAATTGACCATATCCAATCGTCCGGAAATATGATTCGGAGGAATTCCATATTCTCGTCGCCCTCTCTCATTTGCAAATTGCCCGAGTCTACAATACCTCGCAAAACGAAATCATAACGATGATATATATATTCAGCATATATTGATTTCCGATTAATGGGAATTAGAAAAGAAAATAATAAATCTAATCCTCAATACGAATATGGACGAACTAGATATGAGGGGGATGGAGAACGAGCAATCAATCTCTGAGAAAAGAGGGTATCCATTCTGGATAAAGCGTCATATGGGTGGCTGTCAATATTCCTTCTTCCAGGAATTATGGATATTGAAAAAATCATGGTGCCGCCTTATGACGAGAAGGAAAACGAAGGTTTGGAACGATGGTTTTGACAAATATAGAAGTGAAATATTAACTCTTGTTCCCTATGCAAAAATCTCGCAAAATACATTGACGCCATCATTTTAAGATTCAGGCATCGTCTTCGGAACTACTGGAGCTGCTTGAGCTCCAGCTAGTAGTGCTTTGCTCTTCCAGGTTGGCCATATTTCAAATCAGCTGTCTTGGTACTTATTGCTTTATACCTTGGATGGGCAAATGGTCACCGCAAGCAATTTCCCTTCATATGTGCTAGCGCTATGCTAGCGGCACCCTAGCGCGTATTTCGCCGCATGACTTTAGAATTTTGGCACGCCGGCAGTATGCATCAGGAGCAACCACAGGGTTTAGGAAGTAGGATTCAGGGGGGGTAATTTACCCAATGTTCCACAGTCTTATCTAAGCCGCAGGCCGCCTATACTACTTAAGCTTCCCGAAATTGGATCGATCTAAACCCTAAATTCTACACGCTAAATCCTAAAATGTTAGCCTTTGGAAAGGAACACCTAGCGCCACGCTAGCGCTGTCCTAGCGCCTATATGGGGAAGAGCCTGAAACGAGGAGCGGTTGGTGATGTATCTGTGCCAACTTTGAATGTCTCACGTTCGGCGAGCTACTTTCGATCCTTTGTGTTCTCGTCTGCCTTCGATGGGGGAAGCTGAGTCCCGCCGGGAATTGGGGGTGGCGGTGGGCTTTTTAATGCACGCCGCCGGGATTTGGCTTCCCACGTCTTTCCCTCTGTGTCTTCTATCGAAAGTATCTTTTGTAGATATTTCTTGTCTTCATTGACGCTTTTGGCATCCCGTTCACTTCCAGAGCCTGAAACCTGCATATGCGCATGGTGCCGCCTTGTGGCGAAGACATAAATCAGCAAGAATGGAACTTCATATCGCACTTCCAGCATATTTTATATATATGGTATTTTTATGTCCGCCCATATAGCAATGATATATATCTTCTATCCTTCCTCCTTCCCCCTCCTCCCGATCCTGGCACGTCGTGGCCTGGAAGCTTCTCATCAAATATTTGAAGAAATTGATCAGAGATTCAATCGGTTGCTGTCAAGTTGATCGACCACGCAGACCACCAAGGACCATGCCAACAAAAAGAAGATCCGTCTTCTTTTTACTATCTTGGTTCTTGAGAAATATATTTTTTGATAATACGATAATCACCCGTCCTTATATCCTTATAATATGAAAGATATTATTCTCTCTTGATTAATTTATAAGGAAATATTTAAAAAGAAACGAAGAGCATCTTTATATTTCATTATTATTATCTCGTTTTTTCCTCATTTCTTTTTT